GAATTGATGCGTACATAGACAGTCATTAAACATTCATGATTCGATTTCTTGTCTTATCAATGCCAGGGCAAAAGGGCAGCTCGGATAACACATTGCGAGAAGAAGAGTAAAAAAATGATAACCATCCGAGAACCGAGTGAGTCTATGCTTGCGAAGAGGAATCGAGTCAGCAAAAGGCCATGGCCCTCTATTCAAGAGGATCAAGGCGTTTGCAGAAGTCTTGTTCAAGGGCCGGCTTCGATACTAGTCCAACCACCTGAACCACCGCCAGTCTGGTTCGTGTCGCCCGTCTCAGGTCTCTCGTGGTCCATGGCCGCGGCAGATGGCGTGCCAGCCAAACCGGCCAGCACACCCGCTGCGCCTTCAAATGCCTTGCTTTCCCTCTCCTTGCTGGCGAGCTTCTCAGCATGCGCGTCGCGAAAGTTTGGTCTTGGCTGCACGTCGAGCGTCTTGGCCGTCTTGACATCTTCCCTCATAATCTCGCGGAACCGCTCATCTTGCATGAGCCGGTCGATGCGTTCCATGCGCAGCTCCTCTGCCTCCATCACGTTCTCGAGAAGTAGCTCCTTGCTGATCCACTCTTCCAAGCGTCGCTTCTCGAGGCGCTCAGTCTCTTGCCTCAGTGAGTCACCCTCTTGCTGTGCCCATTTGCATTGCCGCGTCAGCAACCGGAGTAGGTGGTCTGGGGATAGTTCCAGCTCCTCTTGAGTGAATTCAATGTCGGCGGGAAATTTGCGCACGCGGGGCCCGTTGGGATTGGCCGGGTCGACTGGCCGGTAAACAACGTTGTTATGCTCATATTCGTTCTCAGCCGGTTGACCACCAAGGGCTTGCGACATGGGAGACGCAGGCATGGGCGAGCCAGCCTTTTCGGGGACCCCATTTTTGAAAACGAGCCGCAAGCGCTGGGCCTTGTTGGATGGATTCGACGAGTGGTGCTTGGGGACTGGGTCTGATGGTCGCAGAGCCTCGGTTTCGTGGACGGTGCGCATGTGTTTTGCGAGGGCGTCGGAGCGTGTGAAAGCGCGGTCGCATTCTGAAAGACTCGTCAGCATGACATTGGGCTCATTGAAGGCCAGGACCACAGGCGAGACTGAGGTCGGAGTCGCGTCTTACCTGGCAGCGTGCAGTAGAAGGGCTTCTCCCGAGTATGGCTCCGCATATGTGCCCGCAATGCGTAGCCACTGGCATGCGGGATGCCTTTCCGCGCGCAATCGCTCCACTCACATGAGTACTTCTTCTGTCTCGTCCCTATGTGATCATCGTGCAGGTGGTCCACGAGCTTGTCCATGTTCCCGAGGTCGCCCACATCACAGCCTTCCCATTTGCACACTGTGACCTGATCTTGACCAAGGCTTTCTTCATCTTGCATGCCGCTGAAGCCGGCTGGGTGGTTTGGACTTGCGGGTACGCTGCCCTCAGTGTCTTCAGATATGTAAATGTCGGGCTCGGCCTCCTGGTGATGGCTCATCTCTGGGGAGTGGGCACGGTAATTGGACAGCCCGGACGGCCCTCCCGTCCGTTGCCGTTTGGTGGGTCGCGCGCTCTCATGGTCAGCATCGTGGTAAGTGTCGACGCTTAACGAGCGGTCTTCGGTCTTGTCGTCCTCTTCAAAGGCTTGGGATGAAAGCTCTGATAGAGGCGATCCAGGTGAGTCGGGGGCTGACATGGTTGATTCGTGGACGGAAGGGTCAAGAGGTTTGTGGGTGGTGGAGAAAGGGACGACGCGCAGCAGGTGTTGAGCCCGGTGAGTGAGCTCCAGCCGTGCTGCTTGTGGCCCGTGCCTGCGCTGCAAGCCACTGCGCCTGTGGTCTCTGTCGTCCCCCGCAGCCCGAGGGTACAAATTTCCTCAACACTGCTTCATCAACCACATCTCATCAATTCATGCTGCCCATCTCAGAACAACTTGCACCACCTATGAAATGCTACCAGTGGTCCGAGAAAGTCCTCAGATTCTAGCCAGTTGCGCTGCCCGTCACTACTAACACCCCAGCTCAATGAGGCTCAAACCGGCATTTGCCTGAAATCTTTGACGTGGTAAGTCTCACATTTTCCAAGTTTCTTCGTGGGATGATGCACAAAATAGAATTCTGCAATCCAGACAGTTCTCTTTCGGGACGAACGTGTGGTGATAAAATCTACACTTGATCTGACCACATCCTCACAAACAATGTCGAATCATTACATATCTAGAGCTCCTGCTAACTCGACAAAGACAGATACGCCTTGCAATCTAAGCCTGACGCCTGATAGACCCACCAACCGCTACCTAGCCGTTCAAAAGATGCGCGTGCGCTGCGGGATATCTTCCACCCTTGACCTCAATGCGCTTCAAAACATCATTGAGGGCCGCCAACTCTTGTTCTGATAGCGTAACTTGCTTGGTGTTCTCAAGCACACGAGCCTCGGTCGTCGCTCCAGGGATCGGAATGATATCTGGGAATCCGTTTTTCCGGCTGTAGGACAGGACCCACGCCAAGCTGACTTGGGCAGGAGTGACACCCTTTTGCTTCGCAATCTGCTCGACTTCTTCCGCAAGCTTGATGTTCTCTCCAAAAACTTCAGGCTGGTAGCGGGGCAGCATTTTCCGGAAGTCGCCTTCACCCAAGTCTTCAAGCTTCTTGATGGAGCCACCCTGCCTATTGTGTCAGCGATTGACTTGTTTGTCTTTTGTACTTTCACCTACCAAGAAACCTCGTCCGAGCGGAGAGTATGCCACAATTGGAATATTCAGCTCTCCACACGTCTTTGCGATGCCGTTTTCAAGAATGTCCGTTGAGTACAAGGACAATTCGACCTCCACGCAGGCAATGGGGTGCACTTTGGCGGCACGTCGAATGGTGTTTGCGTTGCATTCAGACAGCGAAATGCCACCGATCTTGCCGGCCTTGACGTATTCAGCAACGTAACTGACAGTCTCTTCAATCGGGACGTTTGGGTCAACGCGGCCGCATTCAAAGATGTCGAGAAACTTTTTGCCGTCCAAGAGTTCGAGGCAGCGGTCAATGCTTCGTTGCACGCCTTCGCGGGATCCGTCCGGTCGAAGATTCTTGAGATCGACGCAGCCCTTGACGGACAAGAGCACCTTGTCTGCATCTTCGGGATACTTGGTGAAGTACTGGTTGAGCAGATGCAGCGAATTCCAGTCTGGAGTGCCATAGAATTCTCCTGCATTCCAGCTTGTGGAGCCAGAATCCAGAGCAGCCTTCATCGCCTTGAAAGACTGTTCAATTGGAGGTTGTGGTTTGCGCGTGGTCATTCCTCGAAAAATGTTAGCGAAGCTGGCGCATTGCGGACTTGCAACATACCCATCAGCCCAAAGCCAACGGGTCCGACTTCCTTTCCATTGATGGTAGGCATTTTGACAGATGAGTAGATGTGAAGATGGTTGGAGTTTCAGATGATGATTGAGCTTGGTGTAGCAGATTGGATTGCGACAAAGAGCTCGAATACTTGCGCAACTTATATAGTTGGAGCGCAGCGTCGAACGGCATCAACTGTGACGGCAACATCCTAAGTCCGCCATAGCTGAACGTAGCGCTAGGCTACTAGATGAAAACCAACAAGGTGTGCATACAGAAGCGGGTCTAAGGATGTGGCTCCGGCTGACGACTTGTCCTTAAACCCACAACTATCTCCGGTGGCGCGCAAGCGCGGATTGTTTGGCCCCCCGCTTCTACTGCAGAACTCCATGGACCAGTCCGCTCTACTGCTTTCCTAGCAGCCTGGAGGTCAGTTCGGAGGTAGGAAACGTCCAGGTCCCCTAGCTTTGGGGGCTTCTCGGTGTCTCCATTCTCTATCCCCGCGACTATTCGTCCTTGACTACGCACAGCCTACGCCACGTTCAACCTACAGGAGGAAACGCATGAAGTCATCTTCCATTCCGCCAGGATACGACTTGCTGCAGTCTTTTCTCCGCTGGGTGAATCTCTACCTGAAACTTACTCCGCACTTCCAAAGACAACGATGTTGCCGCAGTACCACTCTCGGCGACGGCCTCGTTGTAAACAATAGTTGACCTTGTGCTTGAAGAGCTACCAATCGACAGACCACATTATTGGATATGAAAAGATTAATCAACTCCAAGTCAAATTTCAAAAACTTGGGACACACGGGGACCATTCAAATATCTTGGAACTGAAACACAGAGAAACCACAACTCCTCGAAGAAGAGCTGCTCTGAACCGAATTCCGAACAAGTCTGCGTAGAGTTGACACCTGTTTTCGCCCTACTGCGCGACCGCCAGTCGCGGAGACTGGAGAATTTCCAGACCCCCGAAAAGCGCAAATCCGTCCACTTTCTCAGGTTTACGACCAGACCAGAAAGTTGCCTCAAACCACTTTAGCTACATGCGGTCGAGGGAACAGACGTGGGAGGTTTGGGAGAAAAAGACCATTCTCATCCAGGAGGCGACGCTGGGAAATTCATCTCACAGGACGTACCGCAAGGTAGTACTCAAGCTCCTCCAGCAAATGGAATCAAGCGTCTTCAACGCAAAGTGCAGAAATGGAGCAGACGAAGCCATGTGCACCGCTACTTTTGCTTACAAGCCTCGGTCTGGATCCAGAAGTGGAACACGTCTTTGTCCCGTCAAAGTAACGCTTCAATCCATTTCACAAGAACCATGTGCATGATAGAGCGCACGCTGAACAGGTCGCGCCTTCCCTCCAGGTTTTCCAGAGAGACTGCTGCGCAAGGGCACCACCACGAGGTCAGCCGTCGATTGCTGAACGACTACTCCTTTCGCAGAGGGGAGTCGGCTTTCAAAAAGGTTCCCAAAAGACGACCGGTCCTGTGGCAAGTCAGACAGTCTCATGAGCAGCAAACCACAAAGAAACCGCTAATTTGGCAATTCACCACCTTTGACCTGCCCACGCGATATAGATAGCATACACCAACTCAGGATCCCGCACGTTCCCCCGCTACCACTCAACACCACCGGCACACCGGCAAAAGAAAAAAGGAAACCAACATGACGCAAAAAGTTAGCAGCGATGAACAGACTGGCCAGGAATCGAACCTGGGACTTGTCGTGGAAGAGATCGTCGCCACGACATGCGTTACCACTACACCACCAGCCCTTTTTGTGGTACTGCTGCTATAGTAGGGTACTGGATGCGACACTTTATATGTCCCCTTTTTTGTGTCGGAAACGTTCTGAGCTACACTTGCAACTTTGGCTCGGTCGTGTTTCCCCTTTTCGTCCGCCCAGAGAGTCAACCCTAACAACAGAGACTTTCGTCCCTAAAGCCGTTGCACTGGACTTGAAGATTGCTTGACCAGAAAGAGAATGTAATGCTGAGATTTTCTGCGCGTCAATCTTCAAATTGATTACGACCCTGTTCCATGGACAATACTCATTACCGCACTCTGCCCATACCATACCATATCACCGACTCCTACCGACCGAAAGCCTTGTTTCGATGGAAGTTCCCCGACTGCGAAACAATTTCGCTGATAAGCTAAACTCTGAGAGATGACTGTCCCGTTCTGTGGATCGGCGTGGGGCATTCGGGGTCCTCGATGGTTCCTTCCTCGTAAAGGGGCATGGGTAGTAATGGAAAGAGCAGAAGGCGCACATCAAAGTCAAGCCACTGCGGGCTCAGACCGAACAATTGAACCAGGGCCAATGAGAATGAGGGAACTCGACAGCATGCAAGATATTATGAGATTCCGATCTTCGCCGAACAATCACTTGCTCCTGTTTCACAAAGACATATCAGAAAGCTCGAGAGTTTTCCGACTGCATGAAAAGGTCCATGAACTCCGTCGAGTAGCTGCGACAGTGGAGCGCGAGGGCTTTCGCGGTTGTCTTTGCGAAGTTGTCGAAACCAGGAGTACGACGAGGATGTCCATTAGACCAACATCAAGCAATCTCACTGCAGCACTGCGTGGGCTTCGTGCTCCTCATGGGCGCCTGTTCTCTTGCAGACTTTTCCTCGACAAGTCAAGAGTCTGTATAATCTGTAGCTTTTCGCTATCTGTCAAAATGAGTGGGGAAGAGGGGGAAATCTGAGCAGCAGGAATTTCTCGACCTTAGGGGATGCCTATCACCATATGAGTGAGCGTCAAGATACCAATAATTTGTGACTGGTTTCTGCCTTTTGCGTTGGCTTTCACTTCATCTCCACCCATTTTCATGACTTTCACTCTTGCTGTTGAGCTATTTTGTGTGGATGTCTGTGGGCTGGAGCTGGACTTGGGCAAACTGAAAGGGATTTCAGATCAAGGCATTGCGCAAGGTTTGGAGCCCCTCACCTGTTGGGCTGTTTGAGTATGGCAGTACACAAAAGATAAGGCAAGAATGGAAGTCATGATTTTTGCTATTGGCCGTGCAGCGGAACTCGAAAGATATCCTACTTCTAACGCAGAACAGGGGTGCTTGCTCCCCGTAGCTCTTCATCTCCGAACTCAGATCCCCCTTCAGACCACGGGGCACTTGGAAGATCTCTGTATGTCTGAAATTCAACCCAGTGGTCAAATCACTTTTCAGGTGATGGGTGTCTTTTGCATCAAACCTTGAAGTTGACATTTCTTTCGTCGCTATTGTGCCGGCACAGTGGGTGACGAAAGAAATTGCTAATCCGGGAATCTGTGTTGCCAGGTTAAAACACGTAATAATATGGAGTTCTTAAGCACTTGATGCGTTCAACATAGAGAGAATTTTTCTCTTAATGGGTAGTCACATGGAGCATTTAAGCGCTTGCGTCTAAAGGTGCAACAACTTAAAGCTGGGCCTGGATTGGATTTCTTTCCTCACCTACTGTGCCGGTATACATGAAGTCATGGAAAGAGCGAGGTCAGTCCGCTATACTCTATGTAACCCCGTGTATAACACAGGCGGGCTTTCATTCGCCATCGTGGACTGTTCAAGGAGCAACCGTTGATCTGATCCTCCCCTTGGAAATCTCGTCGTTGACCCCATGCCGCCATTCTTGCCATGATTTCACTGCACTCCCACCAAATCTTCCGAGCTACTATGATGACACCAGGCATCAGCCAAGAAATAAAGTAATGATATCACAATCCCCCCTTTGAGATAAGCTTTGGGGCAGAACGAGCACCTGCTCCCAAGCTCCGGGAAATTCCACAGGGCGAACGAGGTGGCAAAGAAAACTATCTGGTGGTGGCTGAGATTTCGCTCTGCATGGCTGAGCATGTCTTCGACTTACTTGGCGCTGGAGAGACATTTTCAACAAGTGCTCATTGCACTGCGGCCTTTTGACCGCTCTTTCAGAAGTTTGCAATGGTTGCGGCATGTGGTCGAGTCGAGGGCGGCTGAAACGCGTCATATTCTATCGTGATGCCTGCTGGAGACTGCAAGCAGCCGTGAGGAAGGGTGGAGGTGTGGGTGATTAGGAGGCATCCAACCAGAGAACCGGTCAGTCGGCCGCAGGCCAAACGGAGAATTATCAGATAGTGGAGGGTGATAGTGCTGCAGCGCGGTGATGTCTGAACAAGGGATGTGCATGCTCCAGTCTGGCCGCAAATTATTCCGCTCACATGGGCAGAGGCGTCGTCAGTCTGGTATGTGTAGCCTGCATCTTTTGAAGCTGAAACATAGATCTCAAGCCATCTAGCAGGCTGGAGGGGGCCGTGTGTTCCCTCAGGCCTATTTTGCGCGCGTACAAGTGCTGAATAGAGGCAGCACACCCTCGTCGAGCGTGGCAGGCCGTTGAGACAGAGACAGGAATACACGAGGACAAGGAGATTGTTGGGTGACCCCCTGGCGTAGGTTGCACGGCATAGGAGGTGGTGTTGAAGTCGAAAGGGCTCCAGGGCAGGCGGAGTGCGCACTGATGCCCGTCCCGACGACCCCAGGCCATCTCCCCCCACCACCACCCTCTCTTCAACCTTCACCCCACGTCCCATCTGCATCTACGCGCAGCAAACACCGCAACTGCAGCAACCGACCTCCAACGCTGCCATCGGACCATCTGACTCCTGTCCTCGCCTCGTCCCTCCTGGCGCTGCTCACTGCTGCAGGGCGCAGCCAAGCTCAAGGGCCGATCCGCTGGGGGACGCACCAAAGGCAAGCGCCATTCGTTACTCACAACACCGCGCCCAATCATCACGGCAGCCCGCAGAGCTGCTTTTGGCCGCCACTACTACCGACAGGCTGGATGAGACGGAGCAAGCGATCGAGCTCCCCAAACAGCCGGATGTGCTAGCCTGGCGTCATGACTTCAAAGCGAGCAGTGCTGATCGACAAACTCCTCCACACTCTATCCCCAATCTCTTTCTTCGGCCTTTCTACCATTTACCAGAGTCCGCTGACCGCTGTCTATCCTCGCCCTCGACCCTTGCCCTCCTGGCAGGCCCTTCTGACTGCCCGGCACTTTTTCGACATTGCTAGCGTCCTTCTCCATGGCCTCCCAGCCTCAAGGTAAGCTTGCACTCCGTCTCGATCCTCTGCAGCCAGCAGTAAGCAGGGCCGCTGTCGACAACGTAAGGCAACATTCCTGCCATGCGCCTGCTGAGATACGATCATGGCCGTGCCCTGGCTGTCCACAACAGGGAGCAATCATGCACAATCCAACGCCGTTTTGCATTCCTGCTTCCTTTGGGCGCCTCTCAACGATTCTTCAATACTGATTGCCATCAAGCCAGGTGCGCAACATGTCTAAGCCAAAGACCCAGGAAGGACCCATGACGCGCCTCACAAAACTTCTTCACTGCCACAGTAAGCCCTTGTTTCCATAACAGTTCCCGCGCCTTGGCTGGATCTTCGAGAATCCGAGCAGGCTGCCATGTCCAAGGGGATCCAGAGAAAGCAGACGCCCGTCAGCCTTTGCCGTGGCTGCTTCGCCTCCAGGTATTCGTAACCATCCTCAACACCATGGCCAAAGCCAACCAAACCCCAATAACACCCAAACGGGTATAGCGGATCAGCCACAAAGCACACATCTGACTTGGCTGCAAGCACCCGAGCCAGGCAAGTCGGAGAGGATCCCGCCCTCCCAGAACTCCATCAGGCATGGTGCAGTCAGAAAACCCAGGGTGCACTCGCACGCAGCCACCCGCAAGAACCACGGGGTCGCAAATCCGCTTTCCTATTCAGTGTGGTGGTCGACGCAAGCACTGATGTTGCACTCGACCACCACCACCACCATTATCGATGAGCAGCGCTCGCAACTCGCGTCGCAGCGGACGCCGTAAACTCCGAGCCGTCAGGACCGTTACGACTGCAGTCCAAGGCCTTGCTACATGCCTCTTATCCATGTACTCGACGCAGACTTGCCATGCATGCATGGCGCGGGACGCGATGGGCCCGGCCGGCCGCCCGCATCCCATGCGCTCCCTCTCGACGCGCACGCGCGGACCTCCGTAGCGCAACCGTGGTCAGCAACCCTGCTCCGGATATTCGCTGGACCAGAACGAACCTTGGCAAGCAGCCTCTTGTCTGGCTTGTTTTTTCTCAAACTTGCTTTTCCAAGGACGGAGGGGCCGAGACGAAATGAGCCTCTTTGAACGCAACTAAGCAAAAACAAATCAAAGCAAACGAGGTACGGAGGTGTGCAACACTGCCGGCGGCCCACGGTCGACAGGTCCGTGAACTGTGCAGGACTTGGACACGACGTACGGTCCGTATCGACGAGCTGCAGGAGGTCGATCAGACTAAGGCAGGCAGCCCAAGACCTGTCCAAACCAGAAGCGGGACTTGCAAAAGCGATGAGGGTGTGCTGTGGTAAGGCTTGGTCAAGGGGCACCCCACCACTCTCCACGTGCGACTCTGGATGGCTCAAGGCCAACTACCATGGTCAAACATGGATAATAGCAGCCAGGATTTGCTGGACAGCATCGACGATGCTGTTGCATTCCAGAATGCGTTTCTGCCCGCGATTTTGCCTGCCCAGCCAGCATTTGCAACCTCTCGGACGCCTCTTTGTTTGCCTAAAGAGGTCCATTTGAATCTGCTGCACAACGGCCACCACCAACATGCCGGTCATGTCGTGTCTCGGAAACTGACAAAAACGAAAAACGTAAACGAGAAGCTCCCCCGGGAAATGGCGACGCATGCCAAGCAAAAAGTAGGCTCCAAGTTTGGTTCAGTACAGCGCAGCTTGAGCGTTTCGCAGAC